CATGGTGAATTTTTTTGATGTGTAGCTGAATTTGGTTTTCTAGGATTTTACCGATAATTTTTATGGCTATTTCATAAGGGATATTGGTTTGTAGATATTTTTTTGTTAAGTCCTTTCCTGGCTTTGGTATCAAGGTGATATTGGCGTCATAAAACATGGTGAGGAGGATTTCTTCCTTCTCAATATTATGGAATAATTTCTTCAGGATAGGTACTAGATTTTGTAGGTCTGGTAAAATGCAGATGTAAAATCATCTGGTCTGCAACTTTTTTTGTTGGAAGATTTTTTTATTGCTGCTTGGATTTCAGTATTTGATATTGTTCTGTTCAGGAAATCTATTTCTTCTTGACTGAGCCTAGGGAAGCTGTGTGTTTCTAGGAATTTGTCCATTTCCTCTAAGTTCCAAGTTTATGTGCATAGAGGCTTTTTTGGGTTTTTTTTAAGAGACGAAGTCTTACTTTGTTACCCTCGGTAGAGTGCCATGGTGTCCCAGCTCACAGCAACCTCCAGCTCTTGGGCTTAGGTGCTTCTCTTGCCTCAGCCTTCTGAGTAGCTGGGACTACAGGCACCTACCACAGTGCCTGGATATTTTTTGTTGCAGTTTGGCCAGGGCCAGTTTCGAACCCGCCACCCTCAGTATATGGGGCCAGCACCATACTCACTGAGCCACAGGCGCCATCCACTCTGCATAGAGTTTTTATAGTATTCAGAGATGATATTTTGTATTTCCATGGTGTTGGCTAGGATTTTTTTTTTAATTTTTGATTGAGCTAATATTATTAGAGCTCTTGCTCTTCTGCTTCTGGTTAATCTAGCAAGTAGTCTGCCAATTTTGTTTATCTTTTCAAAAAACTAATTTTTCATTCCATTAATCTTTTATATAATTCTTGTGTTATCATTTTCATTTAGTTATGCTCTGATCTTTGTTATTTCTCTTCCTCTGCTTTGTTTAGGATTGGTTTGTTCTTACTTTTCCACTTCCTTGAGATGATTCATTAGATTGTTGATTTGCGATCTGTCTTTTGGGTATGGGCATTTATGGCTATGAACTTTCCTATCAGGACAGCTTTAGCTGAATCTCACAGATTTTGATAATTTGTGTTCCTTTTATCATTTAGTTCCAAGAATCTTTTGTTTTCCTCCTTAACCTAAGTGTCATTCAGCAGTAGATTATTTAGTTTCCATGACTTTGTGTAGATGAGTGTTTCCATTGGAATTGATTTCTAATTTTACTCTATTGTGTTTTAGAAGATTCATGGTATAATTTCTATTTTTTTAAAATTTGTTGAGATGTTTTGTGGCCTAGGATGTGATCAGACTTAGAGAATATTCCATGAGCTTATGAGAAGAACATATATTTGGTGGTTTTGAGGTAGAATGTTCAATAAATGTCTGTTAGGCCCATTTGTTCTAGAGTTCATAGTTTATTTTCTGTTTGGAGGATCTGTCCTGTTATGTTAGAGGGGTGTTGAAATCCCCAGTAATTAAGATGCTGTTGTTTATTATTTTGTTTAGATCAAGTAGGATTTGTTTTATGAATCTCTGTGCACCTGTGTTAGGTGTATAAACAAAGTTGTTATATCTTCTTGTTAAATTGTTCCAGTTTGTTTTCCTTTACTTTTATTGATTTGAAGTCTGTGTTAGCTTATATAAGACTATTATAGCAGCTTTCTTTTGGCTTCCATTTGCATGAAATTTTATTTTCTATTCCTCAACTTGTGGGTTAGATTTATTTTCTGGAGACAGCAGTTTGTTGGCTTGCACTTTTTTATCCATTCAGCCATCCTGTATCTCTTGAGAGGAGAGTTCAAGCCATTCACGTTTATTGAAAGAACTGATAAGGGGGGTAAATTTCTGTTCTTCCTATTGAATAGGACGTTATTGCTTTGTTTTACTTCTAGTGGTGACTGTGGTCTGACTTTTAGCTTTGGCATTTTTTGCACAGGTGGGTATCTACTGTGCTAGTCTATGTACAGTGCAGGTCTGAGTCCTATTGCAGGGCTGGTGTGGACTTGGTGAATTCCTTTAGCATTTGTGTGCCTGACAAGACTTAATTTCTCCATCAAATGTGAAACTTAGTTTTATAGGACATATTATAGATTGGTAGTGTTTTTTTTTTGTTTGTTTGTTTAAGAAAGATGAAGATAGGGGCCCACTCCCTCCTGCCTGTAAGGTTTCCACTGATAAGTCTTCTGTTACCCTGATGAGTTGCTTATGTCTAACTGCTTGTAGAATTTTCTCTTTCACTTTGACTTTGCCCAGGTTGAATATTGTGTATTTTGGACATGTCCCATTTGCTGTGAATCTTCCCAGTGTTCAATAACCATCTTGTATCTGGATAACTGGCTCTCTGGCAATACTTGGGAAGTTTTCTACAGTAATTCTCTCAAATAGATTTTTTTAAAAAGGAAAAATGGAGGGAGAAAGGGAGGGAAGGAGAGAGAAAAGAAAAGAAAGAAAGGGAAAATGAAAGTATGGTGACCTGAACCATAATGAGTTTTTGGGTTGGGAGTTCTCTTGAGTGAGGCAGTGTCTATATGATTTCTTTCCAAGTCCTTGAACCTTCTGGGACCATAAATAGGAGAGACTGAGCACAAGGAATGACCCTCTCTTGGTAGCTAATTCTTGAGGATCCTGCAGAAGAGATCTGCCTGTAATTTCCCCTTTTCTTTTAGCCAAAAGGGCCAGTTAGGCCTGTGGGAAGAGGCTACGACCTTGAACCTGAGTGGGGATTGGTGATGTAGCCTCTGTGGTATGACAGATGGCTAATGCTCTTCCATAATTCTTTTTGAGGTATACAACATCTGGGCTTGATGACTATCTGTAATCCAGTCTGGGAGAGAGGAAATAATAAGGTGCAACTTGACAGTTTATTGTTGTGTAACATCATAGACCTGGCTATGTCTAGGACTGAACTGAGTTACCTCTTTCAGGTGTCAGCATCAGAAGTTTGGCTTGTGGATCAGAAGTCTTTTGTTGAGGATAAGAATCTGGGGGTGGGAGGAGGATATGCTGGTGGCCTGTGCTTATGGCCCTTGCCCCTGCATGTTTGGTGTAATTGGAGTCAGGCAGTCTGGGGAACCCAGGCCAGGATGGATACTGGAGCCACTGGGGCACCTGGAATCAGGAAAAGTTAGCCTTTCCCTGGATAAGGAAGTAGACATCAGTTTTCATCGGAAGGGGATGATTAGGCACCATATATAGATATTCTTTGTCCACTCACATGCAGGTCATCTCATGGCAGCAGCTGTTACTTCAGTCCTATCTGTTCTTATCCTTGCTTTCCAGTGCCCAGCCTTGCCTAGTATTCCCAGTGGGGAGATGAACCCAGCTTCAGAAGATTTACCTCAGATCTGAATTAAATTGGTGCAGTTAGTTGTGAAGGCCAGATAAGCTGTGAGGGCTGTAGAGCACTTCCGAGCTGGGTCTCATGAAGATAATGGCAATACCTTGAGAGGAAAGGTTTTAAATATTCACTGGGGCTCCCATTTTAGCCATGCTACATGGCCACTGAGTAAAGGGACTTTGATAAAATTGGCTCCCTAGAATACGGATTGAAGTCAAATTTGTTTAAAGAATCTAGGGATAATGTTATTTTCTTAGTTTAGTACAAATAGATTTAAACAAACACCCATAGAACACATTGTGACATGCAACATGTCCATTAAGGAGCATCTCTTGAACAATCTCATCCCCATGTCTCCAACCCCACCAGCCTGTGCAACTGTTCTTGTCTGGTATCACAGACACTGATCTAGACATGACTCTTTAATATTTGGAGGGCTAAAATCCCCCAGTTAAAATGTTAAGATGTATTTTGAAAATGTTGAAGAGTTAAAACTTATAACATAATTAAATAAGCTATACAAATTCTACTAAGAAAAGGTGATAAATTACATACATATGAATGTTTACATTGTCTCTCCTTAACCCGAAAGGCCAATATATGGCTCTTTTAAAATAGTTCCTATATTCCTGCATTCTCTATGTTTAAATATTCTATAGCATTTATACATTTTTTCTACTCACTAATTTCCTAAAAGCCTAGAGATATTGAGTTCTAGGGGTCTGCTGATTTCCCAGTTCTTTAAGAAACAGTTTTCTCTTTAGAATTTTGATGTCCTGAGGGTCCTGGAAGGACAGCAGAAACAGCCTTCTGTTCTGTAGTTTTGTTCCCCAGAGGGGAAGGACCAGGTCTGTTTTGTCACTTCTTTAGGCTTGACTGGGTGGTGGTAAGAGTTGGGAGACAAAAAGCCAGAGCCATGTTTGTCTATAGCCAATAGTGTACAATCTATGGTTCTAGGCTGATCCCAGCTGGCAACAGAATTCTCCCTTTGTGTCCTCCTTTTACAGTCTTTGCCAGGAACACGGAGTGAACTTTTAGTTTGTATTGGTTAAGCTCCAAAGACCAGTTCAAGTTTAGGAGATTGAAGTGCATATGGATAGGGTACAGAACGCTCTTCCTGCCAGATTCCCAACTGTCTATCTCCACATTTAGGCAACAGAATGCCAGAGGTAGAATCTCAGAGGAATGGTTAATGCTGGCAAAAGATGTATATAGTTGTAATGTAAAACACTCATGCAGAATCGTCTATGGAGGGGTGTTTTGTAGTCTAAAGGTCTGGATCAAAATACTAGTTTGGAGTATGACTTTGAAATGTTATATAATACTTTTCTGAACCCATTTCCTCATTTGTGTAATGGGATACCAGTCTCACTTATCTTAAGGGGTGGTCAGGAGAACCAAATGCGAGAATGTGTATAGGCTTGTGAGAGTTAATAGTTGCTGACAACTGTGATACATTCTTCTTATAGGATGTTATTTATTGAATCTTGTAACTCTTAAAACATCTTTAGACCTATAAGTCACAATTGGTTCTTTTTCTATTTGTGCTATAAGTGAAATTTGGCATTGGGTTTCTGAACATATAAATGGGTCTTGAAATCACCCAGCTTTATAAAAGATGGCTCAATTTCTCACTTATCTATCTGTCCCACAGTGTGCCATGTAAGAAGTGTGTGGTGGTTGGTAATGGAGGAGTTTTGAAGAATAAGACATTAGGAGAAAAAATCGACTCCTATGATGTAATAATAAGGTAAATGTTTTCTATTTGCCAATCTAGAATTGTTTCAGAATAATATGATTTTCTACTTTACTGCAACCAGGGGAGTTGCGTCAAAGTGTTTATGTACTTGATTACACAACCTTCTCTTTCAGTTGTTCGCTAAAGGTAAGCCTAAATTTCACTCACTTAGCAAATATTTATTGAGGCTCCTTCATATGCCAGGTACATTTCTAGCCACAGGGCAATAGTAGTGGGTAAAAACACCATTCTTACATGATATGGAGCTTATATTCTAATGAAGGGAGGAAGACAGTAATTTTTAAAATGCCTTATAGACAAAAAATGATATGACAGGATCTGATTGAGCGGCTCCTTTAGAATAGCTGACCACTCTGAAGAGACATTAAAGCTAGGCCTAAGTGACCATACAGTAGCAGCCATATGAAGATTATGGAGGAGCAGAGAGAATGTTTCTTGGAGGTCCTCAGAAGGATATGATCCTGAGTTTTAGCAGCATAAAAACTAAACCAAAACAAAATGATCCCATGAGGCTGGAGGGTGGCAGGCTGGGGAGAGTGGTACAATTGGAAGCTGAAGAGATGAGCAAAGAGCAGCCTGTATAGGGCTTCTTCATAAGCTAGGATTAGAAGCTTGGATTTGAAGCACAAGAGGAAAACTTTGAAGGTTTTTAACCAAGAGAAACATGTGGATAGAATGTCAGGGACAAGAGTGGAAAGAAGGTGGCCAGTTAGGTTGCTGTATTCAAGTAGGAGATGATCATGGTTTGGAACACAATTGTTATGGTAGAGAAAAGAGATAAGCAGACAGACTGGAGATATGCTTTAGATGCAGACTCATCAGGATTCGTTATTATGTTAGATATGGGGAGAAATGTGAATACAAGAACCAAAGATACCTCTTACTCTGTTTTCAGCATGAGGGACTGGCTGGAGAGTGGTATCATTTATTGATTTGGGAAAGACTGAGGTAGGAGCAGATTAGAGAAAAACAAGATTTCTGTATGAACATGATAGATTTGAGATACATACTAGGTTTACACTGACAGTTGGACAGACAGGTTAAAATCTTCACAGTGAGCGGCCGATAAGCTGTGTTTAATCCACAGGCTGGTTAAGATTTGCCAGGGAGACACTAAAAGAGAGAAGTGGGCCCAGGATTGAGCCTTGGAGCACTCAACACTTAGAAGTTGAGCACAGAAAAAGGAGTGTGTAGAAGGGATGGAGAAGATCCACCAGTGAGGTAGGAAGAAAATCAAGAGAAAGTGATCCCAGAAGTCAAGAGTGCAAAGAAGTTCATGACAGAGGCAGGGATCAGCCATGTCCGTGCTGGTGATAGGTCATGCACAATAACAACCAAGAGGTGCCCATTGGACTGGCAACCCGAGAAAAGCAGGCTTAATGGCATGATGTGGCAAGAAGCCATCTGGAGTGGGTTAAAGAGGAGATGACAGATGAGGAAGTGGAGAAACCCGTGCAGTGCAGGGCACTCCTTTGACAATTTTGCTTTGAAGGGGAATAGAGAAATGACTGGTACCTGGAGATGATTATGCAATCAAGGGAGACTGTTTTCTTTTCTTTTGTACAGATAAGAGATGCTAGAGCATACCAGTAAACCAATAGAAATGAATAGAAAAAGAGAGCTGGGTGGTAAAAGAGCTGGGTAGGGGTCCAGGGCTCCAGAGCAGAGTGTGATTAATCTTTTGTAATGGAAAAGGGGTCAGGATTATGATTACACCTACCAAGAGTTCCCAATGTACTCAGTATTATTAAGAAATCAATATATAATCGCCCACACTTTTCATATGAAAGATAAAACACAATTATAGCCCAGGATGAAGGAGGGAAAAGAAGGGTGAGGAGAGGGGAGGGGGAGGACAGGTGGAGGGAGGATAATCAGCAGGACTTCACCTATGGTGCATATGGCAAGGGTACATGTCAAGTCTATTAAGAGTAGAGTATAAATGTCTTAACACAATAATTAAGTGAGGTGAAAGCTATGTTAACCAGTTTGATGTAAGCATTCTAAATTGTATATAAAATCAGCACATTGTACCCATAAATGCATTAATGTACACAGTTATGATTTAATGAAAAATTGTTAAGGGGAAAAAAAAAAGAGTTCCTTAGCTGTAGAAATGGGAAACCAAGGACCTTTCTATCTATTTTCTCAGAGAAAGGTTTTGGTAAGGTCATTATCTGGGGTAAGAGTGTGTGTTGGGAGTAGCTGTGATTAGTCTCTTGAAGAACAGGAAAGCTAGCACACTGGGGCAAGGCATTGGGATGACCTGGCAGTGTTGGGTGTTTTGCTGGGTTAAAAGCTGCTTAGGGTTTCAACATAGAAAGATCATCTTGTTTTCTGTTTATTATCTATTTTAAGGAAGCTGTCATAATGTACCCACAAAACAATTTTTAAGCAATCACAGTTTGTCTAAATTTGGTCATTTAGAACCACAGGAAGACCGTGTGAGAAAATACCACTAGTACATTTTGAAAGTCATTTTACGTGTTACTAAGACCGTCTTATATTACACAGAGTTAGTGGCAAAGGGTAAAAGTGTTCTCCTAGGGAACACTGTTTTGGAAACAAAGCATTCCTTTTTCTATTGCATGCTTTCATACTGTGTGCATAAATAGTGCATGTCTAACCTTGGCTTTGAGCAGACACAAAACCAATAGTAGATCCTTTGTGGTTCTTTAGTTCACTCCAGCCGTAGATATTTATTTGGTCGTGCTTGACTGTAAAACAACAATTTTATATTATTGCTTTATTACAAAGCAGAACGATTTTGATGAGTCTTCAAACGAACTTAAATGTGATTCTGCTTGCCTGATACACATCCACCTCCTACATGACTGTGTGACCTTGGGCAAGTAACTCTAGCTCTACGGACCTCAGAGCCCTTATCTGTAAATCCAAGGGGGGTTGTATAGTTGTCTTCCAAGATCTCTATTAAGTCTGGTATTTTGTGGTTCTATGTTCCCATTTCTTCAGTTTTTTTGGTAGTGAGATTAAATTATGATTGACTCTGCAATTAATTTTCAAATACAAATGAATGCTTCTGCCTTTGATCAAGTAGCTATTTCCTGAAAAAGAATTATCTCCTTGGCCATTAGGTATAAAAAAAATCTATAAATTGTCTTGTGGCTTTAGAGCACAGGATAAATGGCTAATGTTTGTCTAACTCTGAAACCTCTGAGAGTTGTAATAGAAATCTTATGTGTTTTATTACCCACAGAATGAATAATGGTCCTGTTTTAGGACATGAAGAGGAAGTTGGAAGAAGGACAACCTTCCGACTTTTTTATCCAGAATCTGTTTTTTCAGATCCCATTCACAATGATCCTAATACGACGGCTATTCTTACTGCTTTTAAAACACATGATTTAAGGTGGCTGCTGGAATTGTTGGTCGGTGACAAAATAGTAAGTAGGCAAAATTGAACTCTCAGATTACCTTATTTTTTCCCTTAAAAATAAAGACAACAGTAACGTTCTATGTTACTTTATTTCAGAACACTAATGGTTTTTGGAAGAAACCAGCCTTAAACCTGATCTATAAACCTTATCAAATCAGAATACTAGATCCTTTCATTATTAGGACAGCAGCTTATCAACTGCTTCATTTTCCAAAAGTGTTTCCCAAAAATCAGGTATGTGTATATGTTGGCAATGTTTCAAACTAAAGCTCTGGCTGAAGTGGGATGGAGGGTCATGGGAACTCTTCAAAACTACATGAGAACCATGGCTCATGGCCACCTCTGAGTTAGTGAAATTAATTATCTGTGGGTATTTACTGTTAAACGTTTTTCAGGTTGCAAGGAAAAGAATCTTACATGGAGTGGGTTTTCCTGCCTTTTCAGGGCCTTCCTGGGGTTTCTTTGTGATATCCAAATAGGTGACCTCTCCTAACTTCATCTTCAGTGTCCGGCAGCAAGGAGTCTTACTGGGTGGGCTGAAGGGTAGGCTTGTGCTCCCAGGAGCAGGACTGGCTTCAGGACAAGTGCATGACTTTTCAGTATAAAGAACTGTCCAAAGCATTTAGGACAGTCCAAAAAAACAACATAAGCAAGCCAGAGGAAAGGTGTGGAAGCACAATAAGGTAGTCCAGAAATATCTCTGCCGACAGAGGGAAACGTTCTCAAGTAACGAGGCACTAAATTCTCAAATAATGGTAGTTACATTGATACTGAAAGCTCTTGAAACTCCAAATTATTTAATTGAATGAAATCTTACTGACTTTGACTCTAGTAGCCCTATTTGTCTACATTCCCTAGAAGACAATCCTTTCTAGACCCCATAGAGTGACATAGAGCTATTTTTCATTTGAAGCTTGAGTAACTGTTTAATGTAGTAATACCTCAGCTGAAATGAGGTGTTTCCCTGCCAAAAAATATATACATTGTGCATCTGTTCTTTACCATGATAAAAAACATGATTAAGAAATTCTAGAGTGTTACATTCTTAAAATCAAATAGCTTACAAAATAAAAACAAAAAAGGAAATTACACGCCTCTTCTCTCTTTAGTAACCCATGTCATCGCCCAATCTTTTCCAACTTTTGTGTCCTTCTAGGCTATTTCCTATGCATTAATGAACATAAATGCATACCCTTTTTGTTTGTTCAATATAATTATAATTACACCATAGGTATTGTTCTGTTTTCTTTTTCCCCTCTATTTATTCCCATATTTACAGACATTTGGATGTACACAATCGTTTTTCCTTTATAAATAATGTAATAGTATACGAACGTATAGGAGTGTTCTGCACACTTGGTGATTACTGTAGGATAGATTCCTGGAAGTAGAATTTTCAAGTCAAAAAGCATACATATTTGAAGTTTAAACTTGATGTTAGTAATTTTGACAGTAAAAGACAGCTTCTCATTGTGTGCTTTGTGACTTTTTAACTCCTATTTTCCTAAATAAGGTATGATGAGATGTATCCCTTTAAAAAAAAATCTTTTTAATTCCAAAAGCATGGGAAAACTCTGATCATATTTAGAGATAGTAGAAATAGTTGTAACTAGATTATACTAGTCCCACTAGGACATAGTGTCCTAGAAGCCAGATGAGGATTCTGCTGTATTTCAAGAAAGGTCAGCCATGTCAGATGCTATGCAGAGGTTAAGCCCAAATACGAAACCCTGGTTTGAGGTCATGGAGGTCACATTGGCAACACTGACAAGGAAGAGGAAGAAAGCCTGCCGAAAGGCGTTAAAGAGAACTTGGGACAGGAAGAAACGAAGACAAATCTTTAATGGAGCTTTGCTAGAACAGGGATCAGAGAAATGGAGCAATTATTGGGAGACGACATAGGATCAAGCGAAGTTTGTTTCATTCATTTTTTTAGATGATATGTTTGTATGAAGAGAATGACTTAATAGAGGGAAATATAGATGATGAGAAAAGAAAGTAGGTAAACATGGAAGCAGAATTGTTGAAAAGAGAGATGGGGTGAAATATTGTACGTTAGTGAGGGGCTGGCCATTTATATTCTTTCCAGAGGTGGGGTATATATATGTGTAGCGTTTTGGGCTTGAGCCTCGGAACATGGTGGTTTAATTAAATATTTCTCGCCTGATGAAGTTTTCAGAAATCTCTATTTTATAAAAGTAGGCCAAGCAAATGTGCTTTGGAAACAAGTAGCCCCTTTGGATTTTTAAAAAACTTTCATCTCCCCCCACCAGAAACCCAAACACCCAACAACAGGAATTATTGCCATCACACTGGCATTTCACATATGTCACGAAGTTCACCTAGCTGGGTTTAAGTACAACTTTTCTGACCTCAAGAGTCCTTTGCACTACTATGGGAACACCACCATGTCTTCGATGAATAAGGTAATGTACTTGGATATAATCTTTGATCTTGAACATTGGACAACTCATTTTCTCTTCTCACCTTCTCATTTTCCTGAGAGAACAGGTTTTGAGAGGGTGAGGGATTGACCAAGGGCTGAAAATAGGACTCAAATCAAGATTATTTTACCTGTAGCAGAATTCCCAGTTTGTGGGCATCAGACCCCTGGGAGAACTTCATTATTGCCAAGGGTCATCAAACCCACATAGGCTGAGGCAGGAGGATCCCTTAAAACCAGGAGTTTGAGGTAACTGTGAGCTAGGCTGATGCCACAGCACTCTAGCCTGGGCAGCAGAGACTCTGTCTCAAGAAAAGAGAAAAAAAAAAAAAAAACTAAATTAAAAGCAAAACAAAACAAAACCCACAAAGGGACCAACCCTTACTTTAGATGTTCTATAAGAGTATGTGCACAACTATGATTTAATAAAAAAAAAAAAGAGTATAGACAACTTGCTGTTTGAGATATTACAAATTCATCTACAAGCATTGCTATGGTCACAGTAATTTTTTTTGTCCGATTAAGTAGATGAAATAGTCTCAGAATATTTTAAGCCCATAAAAGTATCTTCATGGTCAAAGAGGTTGTATTAGAACATGCTTCTCTTGAAAGGGGAGGGATCAATAGTGGTAGATTTGATTCTGAGGATTTTTATTTTAATTGGGAGGGCGTTTTCTATTTTTCTTAGAGTAATAGTGTATCACATGTGATGGATTAAATGTTATCATCTGTACAGTTTTTTTTTTTTTTTTTTTTGAGATGAGTCTCACTGTATTCCCCTGGGTAGAGTGCTATGGCATCATAGCTCACAGCAACCTCAAACTCTTAGGCTCAAGTGATTCTCTTGCTTCCTTTGTAGCTGAGACTACAGGCACCTGCCACTTCACTTCACAGGGTCTGGCTCTTGCTCAGGCTGTCCTTGAACTCCTGAGTTCAAGCAATCCACCTGCCTCACTCTCCCAGAGTGTTAGGATTACAGATGTGGCCACCATGCCTGACCTTAACACCTTTAATCTTAAAATATGAATTATTTGATGTAAAGTGTATGCTGTATCTCATGAAATCAGTCCCTTTAAGTCATCCCCAAATACTGTCCCCCACCCCTACTCCCTGCATCCTTAATCTGAGACAAGACAAACACTTGAATAGTTCAAGAATTAGGTGCCTGGAACATTTAGATTAGGGATGAGGAGAAACGAGCTTAATCTTCTCTGTAGCATTAATGCTATTTCAGAGTAACCTAAAGAACAGAATATTGAAGTAACTTCCCAATGAAAATCAGGATATCTATCTACAGAACAGAATAATTTTTTAAAAACACATCTTAAACTGAACCATGCATCATAGTTTATCTCCAGGTGGATTTTAAAAAAATGAGCTCCAGGTGCTGCTTTCATAAAAAAGAGAACAACGTATTTGGACTTAAAATTTTGGTCTCTAGATTTACACTATGATTCAGTATGCCAGGGGTTGTGATCTGAAGGCACCTCCTATTTGAGAGTTTAAGTGGAGAAAATGGGCTTTAGGGAAAGTTCTTATACAATGACGAGCAAGGAAAAAAGTAGAAAGGTAACGAAAGTTAAAAGTGCACGTGTCTTAATTGAGATTCCTGTTTTTCATTTAGAACTTTGTATATACAGAATTTTCTCTGGCTGCTGTTCCTATTTTGAGAGTGGGACAGATAACCTCCTTTTTCTTTTTTTTAGAACGCATACCACAATGTGACCGCAGAGCAGCTCTTTTTGAAGGACATTATAGACAAAAACTTTGTCATCAACTTGACTCAAGATTGACCCCACACACTCAGAAGATGATGCTTACAGTATTAGTTTTATTTTTATACTGTAATTTTTAGTTTATTTTTAAATATGTTGGAGGCACACGTCATGTAATTATGTATATTAAGTCTTTTGCTGCCTGGTGATTTATAATCACCAGCTTAATTTCTGTGAATACTATATATTTAACTTATAAAAACCAAGAAATGTTTAGTTATCAGGGAAATAAGTTTTCATTGCATTGTGTTTTTAAAATAAGCTAGTTTTCTGGGTGTTCTTAAACACCTTTTTTATAGTTCATTCATCCTAGACTTTTGAAGGAATGTGACTTCTTAATGAGTAAGGGAATTTAGTTTACCACAATTTCATGATTTCTCAACTACAAAATGACATTTTGAGAAGTATATTGGCTACTGTAAACCCAGCTGGTGGGAATGGCACGTGATTGTACCTTCATGCGGCAAACAGGGACCATTTTGCTAGGGACATCTAAGTTCATACTGGTTGATTAAGCTTTGTTCCCCTTGCAATAAGCTAAATCATGATCATACTGAGTAATTTAGTTGAATGAAGAGGGTATTTTTTGTTATTTTTTGTAAGGTAAAAGAAATAGGCTAGCCATAAAATTCTGGATGAGTAAATAACTAAAAAAATTACTCAAGTCTGGTGGTTTTGCATTATTTTAAATTAAAAGTTTATATCCAAAGAAGCTGAGCTGGGGAAGCTCAAGGACAAAATTCTTCCCTATTTTTTATCTGGCTTAATTTATTCATTAATTTTAAAGTCTTTCTATTTGAAGTAAATTAAGTGAAGGCAAAGATGACAACCGAGCAAGTAAACCTTTCAAAAGAATCAAACTGTTTTTTGGATTTAAGTGGTATTTTCATGAAAAATCTCCATGTTTACATGATTAAAGCTGATCTTCAAGTGGAAAGCTTTGCTGGCTACCTAGAGTACACCACATGGGATGAAGCAAGCCAGTCCCACGAATGTGAGCTAGTGTCCCTTCCCAAATTTTAATGAGTACAATCAAAGGCAATTTGTAGGTGTGAGGGAAGAGATGAAGGACTAAAAGGAAGAGAAGAGTCACCCTAAGAAGGATGGAGGTAAAAGATGTCAGAAGAGGTTAAGTTGAAGTCATCACAAGTAATCACTGGGAAACACTGGCGTTCCTGAAGTCATCACAAGTAATCACTGGGAAACACTGGCGTTCCTGACAACCAACCTACCTCTCTAAGAGAGTGTGTAAAGGGAGAAATACTAGATCAGGCCGAGAAACAGGAATAAAAAAATACTTGGAAGCAGTGTAAGAGGAGAATACTAGTAGGCGACTTAACCCAGATCAGACATTAATTATGGACTGTGTTTTGCTAATGCTAGCGTAGGTTTGCACAGTGCTACAGGTTTGCACAGTGCTACAGTTTCACTGGATTCTTCTAATAACTTTGATGCGGAAAAGGCAGGTACCAGGCTAGAATCCACATATGTTCACACCACCCACAGCCACACACTGCACCGTGGCCGCTGATGTTCAGTTTGATGCCTATCAGGCTTCAAAAAGAAGGGTACTGGCCACAGAAAAAGTGAAAAGTCAATAGTGGCATTTTTGAATGTTGCTGGAAATACCATAATGTTATAGCAATAAAATTTGTGTGATGTTAAAATTGAGGAATCTGGCATTTTGTGTAGTGTGAGAAAAAGCTACAAACCTTAGGTTTGTTTTATTTAAGCCAAATAATCTGAGCAAGACATATATACAATTTATTAAAAACACATGAACACATTAAAATCTCACTATTTATACAATCTAAACTCTAGCAACATATACAAATACTGGGTGACTACAGTACATGACGAGGTAAGAAAAGTACATTCTGGAAGAGTATCAGTGACGTTGAAGCCGTTTTTATTTCCAATATGTATTTCAATACATGTTTTGTTTCCACTTTTCCCAGTGCCAAACAAATAAAAAGGAAGAGGAACTAGTCACAAGTTGGAATAAATGAGAACTGATGCCACAGTTGACCTAAGAAGTACTTTAATAACCATCTAACTCTCGTATTTAGATCTTGCAGCTTAGGGACCTCAAGTTCAGAACCAAAAGCCAGAGCTAATTAAGGAATAATTGTATTTGTAGACAGAGCTTTACTGAGTTCGCTTAAGAGGGTATGAAAAGCTTTCAACGTCCCACAGTCTTCTGGCTTCTTCTAACTGTCCCATCTGACATGATGTTTCTATAGCCCTTTTGTTCTCCAGGTAACATGTAAAGCCAAGTCAAAGAAGTTCAAGCTTTGTCACCTTCCACAGTTTTGTGGCCATATTCTTATTTAGATGAGCTCATATTCTGCTCTCCACTCCCGAGGTGGTAGGGGAAGAGGGGAGAGGCAAGGTTATGCGTAACATCATTTTAATTTCTGTATAAATTCTCTACTCAAACCATTTTCATCAGCAAATAAACCCATTGTTCAATGCAAAGTGCAAATAATGAAATGTGAACTTAAATAACCGGACTAGCCCCGGCACATACAACAGGATCTATCTAGATTTACAGCGTCTAATAAAATATAAATCAGAATTCACAATATCTTATCTTTAACTACATTGGTTCCTAAGATCAAGTAACAGCCAAGTCAGTGTACTTTTATGAACCGTATAATGTCCATACTTGCCTCTTCTGGTTCTATTTCTGTAACTGCAATAACAGAAAAAAAATTAATCCAATAAACCAGTGACTTTATGTTTTAAATGTTTCAAGCAAAGAATAAAAATTCAAGGGAATTTTGTGAAAATGGTTACTTTCACATTTTCAGTTGTTACTTGATTGTCTCCAAAGCTGTATATATATCAGACATAGAATTATAGTAAAAAACAAGAACAAATTAAAAAACCTCTAATATGAAAAAAAACTTAAAAAAGTACAAACCAGAAAAACCATTTGAATCAGGCTCAGCTCTTCATCTGGAAAGAAAAATATACAACGTTTACTACTAGATTTTTATAAAACTCATTGGTAGTTTAAGGACAGCACAGTGTAGCAATATGATTTCAGAAAATACCTGCCTCTCAACAAACAAACAAACAAAAAACATGACTCCAGAGAAAACAATCTGGTACACACAATTACACAAAAACAGCAAACTTCTTTGAGAAAAAGAAACAGTTATTGAAAACATCTCTCTTAAAGCTTCAAACAGGCATGTGACTTGAAGAAAAGTATATCCTCTGTGTACTAAGAATGAATAAAAAAAATAAAGCAACTGGTTTACTCTCTTCCCACCTGAAAGGGGATGACTGCACTAGTACATGTGCTTTACACATTCATATACGTTTTAATAAAAGTCTAATTAGTATCTGTGCTTTTTGTTTCAACATCTTGAAACATTTGTATTGGCTTTTCAGTGAATGATACTGTGCCTCAAAGTTTGTCTGGAAAAGGAAAAGCAAATGAAAATAAAACCACCAAAATCATATAAGGAGAGGGCAGGAAGACTGCACAAATAAGTGATTCTCTTCTTGAAGCAATGTTTTAGAATACTGATATGTTTGTGGAAGTAAGCAACATGAATACTGTTCATAATTGTTCAAATTTAGTGAATTCTGCCAACGTCATAATCTGGCAGCGAAGGCCAACAGAAATGACTAGAACTGGATGGACAAGCACGTTTGTTTCTATCATAACATATATCAAAATGTGAACTTCTCATGTCACTTGACAGTCTAAAGACTCTTACAAATGCTTTTTACACTATATGCTAATAAATTACAGATGATTTCTATTTGTACGCTATCTAAAACTAGTTCAGGACAGGTCATGAACAAGTGATGACAAGGAAGTTGTCAGAAGTATCAAAAACAAGGCATTGATATTCATTTGCAAGAAAGCTATAATGTCTATTCCCTGACATAAAGGACTACGCATGTTGCTTACCACTCACAGGGCACACTGACACAGTCCTGAAGAATATATGTCAGGTTTATATTCTGTGTAGCAGTTTACTGTGGGAAACTAAAAATTTATTTGTCTAGAAAGTAATAAAATTCCTTGAAACTAAAGAAAAATTTAGACGTGTTTGTGTGTGTGTATAAAACAAAAAAGGATAAATTCTGGTTACTTTTTTTGATTTTCAAGGTCATTTACATTACTTCTGAAGGAATGATTTTGCTTAAACTATGATAAATACAGGTGAGTCATTTTTACAGCATTCACTTAGAACCCTTCACTTTTCACAACTCTCCTAGGAAAAATCCCACTGCCAATAAAGTTGGGGTAGGAGAAATCTCCTTTAAAGCTTTTTAAGTTGTAAAGTTGTTCCTGTTTCTACATAGAGGAGTACAGGCATTAAAGGATTTGGATTCATGACACTGAAACTTAGCATTTTATAAACACAAGAATGGGGCAAGCCACCAAGGGTCCAGGGCAAAACAAGCAGAAATGAGACCAGGTCATGTACCCTGAAATGTAAAAGTTCTTAAAAGTGTCAAAAAGTGAACAATCACTCTGTTCATTATAACGCAGAGTTTTCTCAGCTATAAATCTTCCTAAGGAAAGATGGATAAGTGTATAAGGCTGTAATCTAAACTTGCTTCATAATTAGTGCTTATAACACTTCTTATTTAAAAAAATCAGAAAGGAATATAGGAATAGAAGAGGAAGCAATCATGATAGTACCCACCTTTCACAAAGACAGTAAAATTTCAAGCCATTAGATATTTCAAGAACAGTACCGTGCGTTATTGCCAGTCAGGCTTAGAGAGCCATCTCTTGAGTTCATTAATGTACCTGCAGCATTGGTAATAAATACTCAGTGATTTTTAATTTCTTTGAAGTGCATTATAGGGAATTTTTTTTTGTATTAAAAATAGTGTTTTTTTACAGTAGTAACAAATAGGATGTTTGAAATTTAACAGGCAAGTAACTGGGCCACAGTAACTAATACCTTTAAAGCAAGATTAGTAGTTTCCTGTACCTTGGTCACCACATTTTCCCCAACCACTTCAGTGACAGATATGTAATACATTCTATATATTAACTACCACTAATAATCAAAAAAAGGCCATGTGCTTTAAAACGATGCTTTGTGAAAAGCAGCATCACCTTCCCCATCCCTTCCTGCTCCTAGTGCTTCCTGCGTGCTTTGTGGCACCTGGTACACCAACTCATCTGGGGCAGGTGGACCTGGCTTCCCACCTTTCGGGGTATCATACTGGGCCCGGGCTGAGGAGCAGCTGTCAGTCCTGGAGAGGAGTGTGTTGTAAGTTCCCATCAAAGGGGGAGGTTGGTTCCCTGTAGCTTTGAAAGTGGATGTGGAGGGCAGACCAACTGAAGCTGTGGGGTGCCCTGACATGTCCATGACAATTGGGGTTGCATACTCGGGCCCAGAAATGGGGAGTGGTTCAGCGTAGGCATGATAAACTTCCTGCACCGGTGAGTTGTAAGGATCTAGGTCTGCGTAGCCTGCGTCTTTTCCTTCTTCTGGTTTAAAGGTAGATCTCTGATGAAGTGTACCAACAATTCCTCCCACGAGGGGCTGTGCATACTCTGTGGACATCACAAAACACAACAGGAAAGTTGTCTTATTAACACAGGGATTATATAATTTAGAGTGCCAGCTACAGATTATACTAAAAGCAAACACTTCATTTGGGGACTTTGTTGCTATCAACTCCAACCTATGAATTTCCTTCCTATAAGAACCAACTTCAAAAATAAATATAAAAGATGCTATCTAGTATCTCATAGTAGTAAGTTTATATGCCAGAAAGCCTATTTGTGTAATTTTACATAAAGAATGTTTGTACATGTTCCTTAGATTTATGGTTATTTCGCTGGAAAAGAAATATCCAGAAGTCGGAGATTTTCTTTCTCAAATATTAGGAAATGTTTAAAATGGGTACGTACTAGCCTAACAGGACAAATACCACAAGGCTCTCTACGCCTTTCCTGCTCTCCCTCTTCCTGGTACCTCTCCCCAAAGCAAAACCAACAAAACCTCAGCTAACATACAAAATGCCCAGTGTCTTTAAATATGAATGCCCCAATTTTATGGAAGGAATAGCCAAGACACAGAAATGACTCTTAAGCTCTGTTCTTTTTTTTTTTTTTTCCTTTATTTTTTGAGACATGGTCTCTGTTGCCCCTGCTAGAGTACTGGGTATCCATCATAGCTCATTACAACCTCAAACTTGTGGGCTCAAGTGAGTCCCCTGCCTTAGCCTCCCTAGAAGCTGAGACTATAGCCATGCATCACTGGGCCTGGCTAATTTTTCTATTTTTTGTAGAGATGGGGTCTCACTCTTGCTCAGGCTGGTCTTGAACTCTTGGTCTCATATGATCCTCCCACTTCAGTCTCCCAAAATGCTAGGATTATAGGCGTGAGCCACCACACCTGGCCTTCAAGGTCATCTTTTTAAAAAGTGCTTCTACCTTTAGAAAATAGGTCATCTCTTATATATGAAAAAGATCAAAGACAACTGTCAACTCCAAAGCAAACATAAGCAGTTTCTCCCTTTAGCTGGTAACCTAAGGCTGAAACATTTACCTGCAGAGTCAGTTTGCAACACTGTAGTGACTTCTCTTGGACTCAGGTGATTAACTTCACTACTGCTGTAGCGAACAGGGGTTTCCTCATGTTCCACTGATTTGGCTGGAAGAAGCTGCTTCATTCCTTTCCACCAACCTTCATTGTGATTGCAAGCCAAAGAGACCATTACATAAAAATGTCTCAAATGATAGTATTAAAGGAGAAACTTTGTTGGATTTAAGTCATTTCTATAGCAAACAGCTCTACAAACTAGACTTTATATTCAATTTACTTTCTGCTTTGGGAGAAGAATATCCTGAGCAAAGCAGAATATGGTAGAAACCTCTATCAAAAGCATATGCAGAAGCAAATCATTGGTATTACATAGTATAGTGCAGGCAGACACAGAGTTTCTCGTTGCAGTGCTTTTTATAATGTTTCTCAAAAAACACATCTCAAGATCTACCTTGGGGCACTGTCATCTGCCCCCACCACTGCCCTTTTCTGCCCTGGTCTGAGCAAGAAACTCTCCCTGGCTCCTAAGAGTCACTGGTAGTTGTGAGAACTAGGAAGTGGGAAACCAACAGGGGGCCTCTGGTGTCCTTTGAAGCAATTCAGAAGATGACAACTCAGCAGGGCAGGCTTTCCTTGGCAACTAGCCACGGCAGAGGACACACACGCCCCGTGTTACTGGGGCCACAGCTCTGTTTCCTGCTCAGTGTTCACATAGGCCACACAGAAAGCTGGTCTCCTCAGGAGAAACAGACACGGAGGATAAACCAGAGAAGTCCCGAAGAGAAAGAACAGAGCTTGTGTTAGGAGAAATTTGCACTTTCTATTTCATTACTTATTAACTAGGAGAGGTTTTGCAGTAAGGGAAGGTTAAAAACTGTGAGAACAGAAAGTGATTCCGCTTTTCTAACTGGGGATTGCCGCTGGGGATTCACGTGGGCCTGAGAACACTCTCCTCTTTCACTATTGCCACCTGCAGGGGAAGAAATCTGCTCTGACAGAAACGACATACAAACACCACATGGGTTACCTGCCCGGTCCCAGTAAGGTAAGTCATAGGTGCCTTCGGTTTTTTTCTTTCTGGAAAAATATAGAAAAATATCAAGCAAAGTTATTTCATTGGTAAGAAATCTCTGAAAGTGCAGAACAAGCACCAAAGTTAATAATTAGTCGAGAGTACACATTTTCCTTGCTGATCTACCAAGGGAGCCCTCCATTTCATTTGACTTTCAAAGTTGCCACTGCTGAGGCTTATAAATTCCCAACTCTTGATGAATTCAACTACCTTCTGACATAGGTTTACCTTGTTACTCACCTAGTGCCTATACAAAAGGGATAAAAGAAACTAAAAAAGCCAAGTCTGTAGATGAAAAAACTGAAAGGAACCAAAAACTGAGCCCTGGTATGTGGCTTCTCGTGGGTAAATCACGATAGGTCTATAGGTTTCAAATACAAATTTTGAAAATTAATTTGCAAAATTCATACAACTAAAAAAAAAAGCTTTTGGTTTTCTAGTCAGCATTGTTCTTTTTTCTTTCTTCTCTTCCATAAATCTTTATTCCAGAGAAGTCTAATGTGTCTTACATCCTTAACTGCACAGACCTGATTCCCCCAATCAGCTCTGAGTAATCACCTCAGGATTAAACTATCACTCACAGCAACAAGTGGCAGAGGGATGGGAACATGAGTCTCCAGACCAGCGAGTCACTGCAGTCTCTGGGTAGATGAGAGCCCTGTCTCCAACGAAGAACATTCTCCCCAGAAATGTGACTCATCTGCCCCAGGAGAAATCTCCTTTTCCTCCATTACAAATTATTATTTACCAAAAGAAAAACAAGCAAACAAAAGAACATTTTCTGATTTGGGAGTGTAAAGTTAATTTAACTAAAATTAGTGCTTTGCAAACTAAAAAAAAAACCAAAAAACAAAAAACCAGATATTATTCTACAAATGAGAACAATCACAGAATGTGATTTGCTTGAGATCACAAATGTAGCTTTTATAAAGAGCCCACACCATGGACTTTTACTACTAGGAAACAGTCTGCTCCAGTATAAGAACATGTTTTTATCACTGTGTTAGAAGTGTCCTCATTTGAAAGCCTGGGTATATTTATATTATTTCTTTATTCTGAAGTGTACTAAAAAAATTGAGGAAGAGAGGGCCAGTGTTGAATCTGGTAATCAAAAACTTGAATGGAAAAGAAGTAATGAAATATGTTGGTTCTTCTAATTATCATAAGATTTAAAAAACTGTCTTCTTACTCCTGAGTTCCTGCTTATAATCCCAGCATTTTCAGAGGCTGAGGCAGGAGGATCCATGAACCCAGGAATAACAAACAGGTGACAGTGAGTTAGGGTCACACCACTGTACTCCAACCTAGGCAACAGAGTGAGACCCTTTCTCTAAAAATAAATAAATTAATTAAATAATCTTTTCTAAATTGAATTTAGATACCCTATATGGCTAGGACAATAAATTTCACTGTATGAATATTAGTCAAGGATTATACTATAAAGGATTTTATATACTTAACCTCAAGTGACAAAACTTCAGGTTACTTAATCATTACACATACAGTGCTTGCCATGGGCTAGGGATTTAATAAGTGACAGCTGTTTTTTATTATTACTCTCCTCCTAGTTTCCAGTCTGTCAATGTCATCTGCTCCTTTACTCCCTGCCATGAATCCACTCATCAACAATCTAGTCTATTCTTAGTATTAACAGTAACCTCATTTCTCCAGCTCAGATCTTGTGTCCTGAAACCAGGCATGTCTTCAATTGCCTTTTGGGAATCTGAATACCCACAGGGTCCCTTCCACATCATCCATACTGACAGCCCTCAGGCCCTGACCCTTGTCCCCTCAACAGCTCTCCTCCCAGTTCTTATCCTTTCACTCTGTGCTTCAACCACAGTGGGTTACACTGTATTTGTTTGTTCATGATACATTCAGAGGCAGCAGTGGATAAGAGCATGAGCCCTGAAACCAGGCCTAAAACTCCCCTCTGCCAGGTCTGAGCCTGGTGACTTGGCCCAAGTTAATTATGCTATGTCTCACTTTCTTCTTTTGGATTTATTACAGTACTTGCTTCCTAGGCTGTTTTGAGGATTAAATGAATTAGCACATGAATTTAGAATAATAATTTAGCATAATGCCTGTAAGCAGCATTTAATTTTCTGTAATTTTCTATTGTTGCTGTAGGTCTCGTCATTACACTGAATGCCTCACGCACTGTCCTCTCTGGACTTCCTGAAGCCTGCCCCCTCTCCTCTCCCTACTGGCCTCAACACTTAACTTGCGGGGTCTGCTCAGTCAGCCTTCCCGACACCATGAGTCTGGGATCCTCCAACTTCCTCCCTTGGCGCACATTTTGTGGTCACGTTCCTGATCTGTAAGCTTGGGAGTTCATCAATGGACTCACCAGAAGACAGCTCAATACTTGACTCAGGGTAGGAGCCAAGTATTCAAATACTTGTCAAATGACTGAACAAATGAAATCAGTTGCTTTTTCTCCACCAAACCTGTCCTTCCTGCTTAAGTTATCTCAACTCATGACATCTCTACTGGTCTAA